CTTCCAAACTTATTAAGATTTGGAATTTTATTTTAAAAGATGAATCTTATTAATAGGAGTAATCCTAACCTTTATAGGTTAATTATAATTTTAATACCATGCCTGGAAAATGTTCAAACCAATCTTATAATGTGTCTTTGTTACGAGTCGTAATTGGATTGAATTGATGGTGTGAATTTAAAGGGCTCTAATATCAGGGTTGGACAACATTTTCAAACCGAACAAAATCAAATCAGATTTGAACTGAAGAAGAACCGAATCTTCTTGATTTTTTTAAATATTTTATATTAAATAAACTAAATTATTTTAATTTTTAAAATAAATTTGCCAACTGATTAATTGAGCCTAAGTTATTTGTATATTTTTAAATTGGACTAAGATATTTTGTAAGAGTTAATGTAATGTTGTTATAAGAGTTAAGATTGAATGTCATTAGTTGGATTAATGTATTGTTATTGTAAATGTTAAAAAATTTAATTATGATACAAAATCAAATGTTCGGTTCAATAATTAAATTTAGACCCGACGATTCCACTTATTAATTACCCGAAAATTCTGGTTCGGTTCGATTCTTTTTAGAACTGAACTAACCTATCTAATGCCATATTTAGACTCGTGGTTCCATTATAAAATGTCAACTTTATTGAATAGCGGTAACTCAAATTATTTTATGTTGATTATAATTTTGATATTTACTCGATATTGAATTTTTATCTTAACAAAATTTAAGTGATAGTATGAACGAATTCCTCGCTTTATTGATCCAAATGTGTAAAAGATTCTAACCGCACTTAAAAGTCGAGTACTCTACCTTTGAGTTTTATGAAAATAATAAATATTAATTCGACTCTAAATAAAATATTGGAGAATCAAACTAAACCTTACTGTGTCCAGCCCTATCTAATACCATATTTAGACTCGTGATTCTATCATAAAATGTTAACGTTATTAAAGAGCAGTAACTTGAATAATTGTATGTTGATTATAATTTTGATAGTTATTCGATATGAAATTTTTATCTCAACAAAACTTCGGCGATGGTATGAACGAATTCCTCGCTTCATCGATCCAAATGTGTAAAAGATTCTAGCCACACTTAAAAGCCGAGTACTCTACCTTCGAGTCTTATGAGAATAGTAAATATTAATTTGACTCTAAATAAAACATAATAATTACATAGGTTAGTTGGTGCTTAATCAGAGAGTAAGTAGATAACAACTTGGTCAAGTGACATCTAATCACTAAATCATTTAAAGTTAGTTGCATTGAGTTGACCATCATTACCCTTAAACCCGTTATCTAGGGCGAGATCTTGCAATCAAGGAGATAATCGAGGTTTATCAAAAGAATAATGTTATCTAGCACTGATGGTATTACAACACCAATGTAAAATGCGCAATATGATTGACTCGATGAAATATATAATTAATTGACTCATTTAACACCAGTCTAAAATGTGCAATATGATTGACTGATGAAATGTATAATTAATTGACTCATTTAATGTCACATAAATTTTCTAAACCATATAACCCTTGTCAAAATTATGTTTTATCTATTGTGTACTTGAATAATTGTGTTAATTAAGATAAATCATAATTAAAAATACATTTTAAACGAGATAGTAAAATGTCAATTGTGAAAAGACCATATTGCCCTTTTGCAAGATATTGATCCATTGGTCAGTACTCGTAGTTAGTGGTCCAATACAGAGAGAGAATTATGAAAGGGATTGAAGGAAAAGTTCTGAATCTGGCAGACAAGACTCCAATCCATCATTTATTAGCCCAAATTGAAAGAAGCCATAGCCAGCAAGCCTAGCAATTGCATTTCACTTTTTCGTCTACTTCTAGGCATGCATGTCACAGCCCTACTTGATGTTGGTTGGTTAGTCATAGTGTATAATTGCAATAATGCTAGCACCTTTTGTGATGAACTGCATGCTCTTTTAAAACCATAGACTCATGTTGAGCTAATAGTACATATTTATTAGCGTTTTAAACAGCGTAAAGTATGATTGGACAGAAAGACTAAACTTATAACTTTTTACGAGCTTAAGTGAAACCTAAAGTATTAAAAACATAAAATGTGATTAGCGACAAGATCAAACTTCGAGTCTAGACGAAACTTAGACGATCTCTTTGAAACACTGATATTTAAAAGACCATTATTTATATATTTTTAGAAGCTAAGTAAATATATCTTCATTAGAAAACAGCATAAGAAACTTACTCTTTGGTGATATAATGTTTGGACTCCTAAAATAAAGGGACTCGAATGAGATGTATCCAAATATATAGTGGTAGTTTTACTACCAATAACCAAAGGTGAGGAGGTCTTATTAATAAGGGTAATTAGCATAAAACATCCTCATCTCTTGCATTCAATGCGCAAATCGCCCATATTGTTTCAAACTTGACATTTGCACTCTTATTTCAAACTTTTCTTGAGTTTTCGTCCCATCCCGTCAATTCCTTCCGTCAAATATGCATAATCGATACAAGAGGTCTCTATCATTTGCACTCATGGCGCAAATCATCAATTATCGTTTCAACTTTGGCATTTGATCCCTCACATCAACATTTTCTTTGCGCAAAAAGTCCTCATTTTCTATTTCCTCCATTAAAGAATTATAAATTTACCCTACTATTTACATAAATATTTAGAAAATAAAGAAAAAATATATATAAAAAAAGATATAATTGCAACTAGAGTTTCAAATAAACTTGTTTCTTCTCGAAATGCATTGAAACGCAATAGGAGAATGATTGAGTGTACATTTTAACCATCGATACATGAATACAAGCAATGGATACTCAATTAAAACCTTTTTTTTTTTTTACTTTTATGACACATCTCATATGCTAAACAGTACAAAACTTAAATATACACTTAAGTTTCATATTAAAGAGTTAACCTCCCGGCTCCCACTATCAATGTAATCAAAACAAAAATCACCATCAAGTGCATCAATCCAAAAAAGCCACTTTTTCCCCCCACAAAAGCCCCCAAGCTTATTTTCTTGTACTGGTTCTTCAAACCCAATAACCAGTCAACTTCATCTCAAGTCATACTTGACTCAAAATATTACTTCAGTAGGTATAGATACGTACACTGTACAGTGTACTCGCCAGAATGTAAATTTTCATATACTGTATTCTGAAAGGATAGTCTCAGCAATGTGCCAATGCAAAATCTGTGTATCTTTAATGTTTTTTTTTTTTTTACAATAAATATAAAATTTTATTGATCAAAATTCATGTACAAATTTCGGGACATACTCGGACAAATCAACATCAAGTGACTAATACAACTACACCGAGCATTTCTGGGGCGACAAAAGGAAAGATGTACAATTCGAAAACAAAGAAAATATGACTTTACATACGCATGTTTTGATTCGTTTAACAACGCTTTCCACGTAAGGTTATAGATCTTCAAAAAAATTTCTATTTCTTGTTATCCAAATGTAATAGACTAAGATTGCCAATGCAATATTTTTAACCTTACACACAGTTCGATAGCATAGCTGCATAAGAGGTAGCTTTCGAGGGGCCCTGCTTGGTGTGTGCGCCATTTCCAATTCCTGCCCGCCAAGAAAAAAACACACACTACACACAGTTCGATAGCATAAAGATTTCTAAAGTAAAAATCATAAATTAATGCACATATATATAAATCTATATATGCATAAAGAAAAGACAAGCGTGATACCCGCTTTGATAAGATCTCTTCCTTTATCTTTCTCAGTCTGTGAGGGATACACAGAGAGGTAAAGCGTGTGTGTGAGATATAGAGAGACAGGGAATGGTGTTGGCTTTACTTTTCTGTACTGTATTATGAGCAAAGAACAAAAATCCCTTCTTTCAAGAAGAAGATGACTCCAGAAGAAAATGCGCAATCCTTCTTGCTTGATTCCCTTTACTGTCAAGAGGAAAAATGGGGAGAATTTGAAGAAGGCGGCTTTGAAAAAATCTCCTTTAATGGAGGAAGTCTGTCTCATTTTCCTTTACTGTTGACAGAACAAGATTTGTTCTGGGAAGATGAAGAACTTAACTCACTTTTCTGCAAAGAAAATGAAGCATTTCTAGATGGAACAGGCTTTTCTCTTTCTCCGCAGGCACGCACAGATACAGTTGAATGGATCTTGAAAGCCAAAAATTTTTATGGGTTTTCAGCGTTGACTGCCATTCTCGCAGTAAATTATCTTGACAGGTTCCTTTGCAGCATCCATTTTCAGAAAGAGAAGCCATGGATGATCCATCTTGCAGCTGTTACTTGCCTCTCTTTGGCTGCAAAAGTTGAAGAAACTTATGTTCCCCTCCTCTTAGATCTTCAAGTACGTAGTCACAGTGCTTAAAAGCAGATTTGTTTTTACCTAATCTTTTTGACAGTACATCTCAAGTGCTGTATAAAAAAAAAAGTAGCAAAAAACCCCGTATATTACAGTCAATCTTTTTTTATTTTTATTTTTTGGTTTAATAATTTGCTGATTTCATTAGATCGAGGATCCAAAATGCATGTTCGAGACGAAAACCATTCAAAGAATGGAGCTTGTGGTGTTATCAGCACTTAATTGGAGGATGAATCCAGTGACTCCACTATCATTTCTTGATCACATTATTAGAAGGCTGGGATTAAAGAGCAATATTCACTGGGAATTTCTCCGGTGCTGTGAGAATCTCCTTCTCTCTCTAGTGGCGGGTATGCATAAAAAAAGTAACTTTCACAAAATAAGTAACTTAAAAGTAGCTATGAATTTCTTATGCATTTTGTATGATTATACAGATTCAAGATTCGTACGCTATCTACCATCTGTCTTGGCTACTGCAACCATGCTTCACGTTATTCATCAAGTTGAGCCTCGCAATGCCATTCACTATGAAAACCAGCTTCTTCAGGTTCTCAAAATCGACAAGGTTTCTATTTTCCCTTGTTATTTTCCTTTTTTAATTGTTCAATCAAGACCAGAAAAAGTGTCCAATTAGTTCAACATGTGCCCACACGCAAAGGCGTGTGGAAAATAAAAGACATGAGTCCATGTCACCCCATTTAAGAAAATGAGTTTGGTCTCCACGAGAGGACGTGTTGATTTAAATCATAAATGGATTTTCTAGCAGATTGAACTTTTTTCTGATACGCTCATTATTTGACTAATGGAGCCTGTCCTTTTGTTTTTGTAGGAGAAAGTGAATGATTGCTATGTGCTTATTTCAGACTTGTCAAACAGGTGTTTACATGGACAAAACAATTCCCAGAAGCGCAAAATTTGTCAAGTTCCAAGCAGCCCAAGTGGAGTAATGGATGAGTTTTTCAACTCGGATAGCTCGAATGATTCATGGGGAACTGTAGTATCATGCATTTCTTCAACACATCAGCCTGTCTTTAAGAAAATTAGGGTTCATGAACAGCAGATGAAATTACCATCTTTAAGCAGGATTTTTGTGGATGCAATTAAAAGCCCTCATTAGCTATCCATCTAGCTTTGGGTAGCACGGAAAGCCAGATAAATAAGCTAAAATTTCGTTCATTGTACTGTCCAATGTCGTTCCCACTGCACACCAGATGTGCACTTAAATTGGTCAAGTTAAATTGCATGCCTTTAATTCACTGTGATATTATCAAAAGAAGAGTAGTAAAATGAGAATATTATCATCGCAATTAAAGAAAAAAAGAGAGAGAGAGAGAGAGAGAGAGAGAGTTAATGGTGGCAGAAAGAGCTGGCAATTTACACTGGAGTGAAAAAGACAAGGAATGAAGGATGTGGCATTTTGTTTCTCTATTGATGGATTTGATGCTAAATCTCTCTTTCCAACTCGTCCTTTCCAGGAAGACTACTTTGTATGGACATGTCTGTATTTGAAATAAATTTATACAATATTAATGTTATTATGTATGGGAAGTATTTATAAATATTTTAAAGGGAAGTTTACGAAAATGGCCAATTTCATGTTTGTCAATTGAAAAGTGTTTAATTTTGATAACTCCTACAAAAATAACCAAATTTGGTATCAAATTGTTTATTATACCTTAAATGAAAAATGAAGCTTTTTTTATTTTTCAATTTGTCACGAATTTCGAGAAAAACAATAGCTTCCATATTTAATAAATTCATTTGCTTTTATTAT